CACACACACACACAAAAGAAAAGAAAAAAAATCACCAGCACCCATGAAGATGAAAAACAGATAATGAGTTTAAAACTGAGAATTGTATTATAGGCAATGCTAATTCAAAATGGTCAACTGATGATGGTGAAAGTATAACAAGGGGCAAAAAGTGTTGAGAGTTGAACTAGCGAAAGAACTCGGAAATAGGAGGGCAAGGAAAGTATCTATTGGCAGGTGAACTGGTGTGAAATTATTGGTTAACTGGCTCCCTGCTTCATTTGGATGGAAAATGCAGGAAAGATGATTTTTGTTTTATATCTTGTAACAAATTCCTGCAAAATCCTGGTAAAGAAACAGGTATCTGGGGCCAACTAGCAGATGTTTTCTTCTTCATACAGAGAGACTGAAAATTTGTGTGGAAGTGAACAGGACCTAAGTCTCCTAATAGAGTTTAAGCTAACGTGTTAGTGATGGGATATGAACTTCCTCCTGTGAGCCACTGGCCGATAAGGATCACAGCTTCAGAGTGCATCGTCAGATGTGTGATGGATTTGACATACATTCAGTAACTTGTGCTTTATGGAAGCTGAAAGGAGGCACTCTTGATTTTGGTTGAATTGTAGACAGTAGACCATGAGAACAGAGAAATGCCAGTAAATGACTGTACTTTTTCTGATGGATACTATCTATCGTTCCTATGCTTCTCAGTTTGCTTCAATGATATGAGGAATGTGATGCAGAGAAAACTCTTGTACATTTTCCCCTCTAATAAAAACAAACTAAAACTAATCAGAGAAGCCCCTTCCTAAAAAGAAACCTAATTTTATGACGTAAGCAAATTAAAAACGGAAACAAATGCTTCACTTGATCTGGGCCACATTATGTGTCATGCAGACATGCTTCTGGTTAAATCAACATTCGGCAAAACCTTTTTTTTCTCTTTAATTTTCTACGCAAAACAACTTAATTAATTAGCATATTTTATTAACTATAATGAGAGGAACATTTTCATTAACTTTCTGGCATTTATCTTTATCATGTACTTGTTCTTGTGTGTGAGTTTGCAATTATGGCTCCTCATACATACTCTTCGTTGATAAATTACATGCTGTTCATGCTTCACCTCTTCCCAGTAATCACTCAACACCAGCATATTTAAAAATCTAACACTTCTGGCTAGCTAACGTTTGTTGCACTTCCTTCTTCCCTCTCCTGCTTTCACCTTCCCTTCTCTATGTTCTAAAGGCCTGTTTTGATCCTGCTCTTTTTCATTCTAGGAAGAGGGGGGAGATGAACATTGAAACAAAAAAATACAAAGAAGTATCAAAAGAAAAGGAAGGGGGAAATTAGAGAAAACGCACATACCGAAAATTTTAATGGAATACCTTGATTACCAGTGCTTAATAGTAATGAAATTTCGTAAATATAGGTTTCATGTGATTTGCCACTATTGGCGACATTCGGGGGACAGGATGTTGATCGGCTTCCTTCAGCTTCTACTTGCTACAACACTCTCAAGGTACAATATTCTATATTAACTTTGAGGTATCGAATGCACCAAATCCAACTCATATAGTCAAATGGAAAATCAAATTAGCTTTCAACAATAGGACCTCTTTCTGTCAAACATACTGCAATCTGTCCTTTTTCTTATGCCTTTGACAGCTTCCGACATACAAACGCCAGAATACGTTGAGAGCAAAGCTTCTATATGCTATCAATTCCAATGCTGGTTTCGAACTTTCATAGCTGTTGATCAGGTAAAGTGGTTTTCTCTTTGTTTGTAAACACATAAGCTAGTAGAAGATTAACCCCATCAGAAAAAAAAAAAAAAAAAAAAAAAAGCTACATACCAGAATTTGAAATTTTTTTGGGTCTCCTTTTTTTGTGACTAAAATGGAATACTTAGTGAACTTACTTTATATGAGTATTCCTTTATTCCTTTTTTTAATTCGGGGTAGGCAATCAAGTAGAATATTTAGAGTTGAATAGAGTTCGTCTCATGGGATAACTCAAAGACTTAGGGCGTGTTTGGTATGAAGGAAAATGTTTTCCAATTTTCCCATGTTTGGTTGGCTTAAATATTTTGGAAAACATTTTTCTTATGAACTCATGTTCCTCCAATTGGAGGAAAATGTTTTCCTTATGAAGAGAAGGAAAAAAAAGCAAAAACTCCTTCTCAACCTTCCCCACCCCACCCCCTCTCTCCAAAAAGGGCATTTTTTTTTTCAAATTTCAGTTTTTCCATTACCACCCACCCTACTACCCCTCCANTTATAAACTTTATGAGTTCGAAATTCCGCGGTTTCGAAAGTTTATGAAATTTGTGGGTTCGGAAGGTTGTTGGTTTGAAAGTTTATGGCTTTATGTTTATTATATTTAAATTATTTATTAATACTCTTTGAGAAGTCATTTTCCTTAATTTGCATACCAAACACCGGAAAATGAATAAGATTACTACTTGTTTTCCAAGAAAACATTTTCTTGGAAAACATTTTCCGTTATACCAAACACACCCTTAAATAGAACTGTTGTTTCTGCTTACTTTTATGTGACAATGATGGTACATCAAATACTGGAAAACATATTCCCAAGTTGGGAAGGTTGTCAGATGTGTGGTACTTAGCTGTAACTGCTTTCATACGAGATATACTATAGCTTGAATGATCAAAGACCAACATAAAGCCTCTTTCAAGTTGGAAAGTAACTATAAAACAATATCATGAAAGGGTGAACTACAAAGTAGACCGTTTCTGCAGCTTTGAGGCTTTAAGAGATGAGCTCAAAGCCCTGTTCCAACAGACTTTGAGCCAATTTCTCATTTGCTGTTTCTGAGGGATGAAATCCATCCCAGAAGACATAATTTGTAGCATTGGAGCATGTTCCAATGGACCTGGCATTACAAAGGAACGATGTTTCTATCATACCAGTCCCACAACAAGCCTTCCTTGATTCAAAAAATCCTGGAAAAGAGGAAGATTATTAGAGGAGATGTGATCAAGTGTCCTCTTTGATTTCAAAAGATAGTTAATCACAACCCCCCCCCCCCCCCCCCCCCCTCTATGTGGCTGCCTTCTTGTGTGGAAAAGAAGGGGGACTTTACTAATTTTCCTGTGATTTTAGAATGCAGGAAGTAGGAAACCAATTTAAGAAACTTCCATTGCTTCCTTTTGTCAAGTTTAAAGCTCCTTTATTATGTAAACGAGACACGACTTTTTTTTTGTTGAACGGTGAAATTCTGTGTTACATGTTTGTGCTTTGCAAAACTTTTGAAGGGTTGTCTAGTTTGAGAAAAAGGAAGGAAAAGGAGAAGGGAGAAAAAGTTTCAGCACATTACCATTTTCTACAGGTTTTGTGATCAGATCAAAGAGAGGCTGATAGATGTCGAAGACAACGAGCTTGATGCCAGGAAGCTTGCTCTTTAGATTTTGAGATGTCCGGTTGAGCTTATTATTGAAAGAGATTGCATCTTTGTTCAGTCTTGCAACACAGTGGTTGGTTCCTGCACCGAACAAAGTAATGGCTGCTGGCAAACAACCAGTTGGTGGCAGAGTTGTGACCCCAATCCTCCTTGCTCCCAAACCATAGAGGTTCTGTCCATAGATCGCTGCTGTATTAAATGCGGATTGGCTTGTGTATAATATAACAGTTTATATATGATATTTCTTAGTTTATGATTCTTAATTACATCTTGATCTGATTTTCTTGATGTGGCTCAGTATCAGGAGTAAAGGTTGTGATAGTGTATTGATGTTCAGCTTTTTCTTTTTTTCCACGGTAAGTCCACGTGGTGCTCAAGTGTTCCAAAACAATCCCAAGTTTCTGTAATTTGCAAGTGCTTGTTATAATTCAAGCGCGGGCAAGCTTGCTCCCGTTTGTCAAATGTGAGGTGCAACTTAAATTTATATTCCAGGGCTCTTACCATCGTACCGAAATACTACTTGTAAATTTTATTCTAATGATCTGGCCAAATGATCTCGAGTTAGGACATTATAATGGGTTTGTTCTAAATGCATTTTCATTTGATATTGCTCTTATGGGCAAGGGTTATGCCTAGAAATGCGATGCAGGTTGCCCTGATTTTTGTGTCAGTTGTTTATTGGAACAGTCAAACGCTAACAATTTGTACAAAGAGGTAGGCGGACCTGAATGAATGTAGAGTATGACTGCATGAGGATATCGGAGAACTGATCAGGTGAGTAGACTCTGTTGAGTAGTGGATTTATGTAGTAGTTTTGAATAAAGTCACTGCTCCCTGCACTTATAAGATGTATACTTCCTGAGAATATGTTGTTAGCCTTGGTCCTCCCGACCAGATTCACTACTTTCCTTTGCCACACCCTGTAATATTTTAGTTGATGTGGCAACGTTAGAGCACGCTGCAAAAACCATGACATTTCCAAGTTAGTCATACTCAACAGTCCACAGATTTCTATTCTCATGCATACAGTTTAATACTTACATATAGTTTAGCAGTCCTCTCATAATAACCGGAAGAGGCAGAGGCAAAGTTGACGCCAGTCAGAATTCTTTTCCCTCTAGCTTCTCGGCTCAGGTAAGCTGGTGGGTAAGAAGTGAACCCAAGATACTCAGCTGTAGATTAAGGCATGCATGTGTGAGAAACAATGGAGAACTTTTACTTTTTTTGTTGAGGAGACTTAGACATTACCTGTGAAGTCTGTGGCCAGCTTTCCGTTGCAGAACCTTCCGGTGGGTCTGTGGGTTACAAAATCTCTTCCATAAGGTGGGAAGTTTGCCTTGATGAGAGTGCTTAAGTTGTTATTATTTCCAACATCAACTACAGAATCACCAAAGATGCACAATGCTGGAACCAAAGGGTCTCCATCAGATACAAAAAATACCATAGCAAGAAGAAGACCACCTAATAGACCCCNCCCATCAGATACAAAAAATGCCATAGCAAGAAGAAGACCACCTAATAGACCCCTCAAGAAACTCATTGTTCTCTTCTCCTATAGCGAATCTCTTCTTTTTCTTATCGTTAGGAGGGCGGGCAAGAAAATTGGAGAGGTTTGATTGATGAGTGAGAGGAAGGTGGGGGAGCAGGTGATGAGAATGTAAGGACATTTAAATTCAAGTAAAGGGAAAAAATGAAATAACTGTTGGATAGAAAGTTGCTCATTTCCAGGTGAAGAGGCATGTTTGGCACCTCCTAAAGCTAGTAATCTAGTGATGTATTGAGAAAAAGTATGAGTTCAAGTAAAGCTTGTTTAATTTTGTCCATATCTGTGAGTTTATTTAGGAGTATGTGTGTTTTAATAAAAGCTAAACATACTTTGCAGAAAATTGAAGCACAACTGGCGTGAACCACATAATATTCCTTTATGTATGACCTGCTTCTTCATGCTACTCCATATATGTTTAATTCAACCACAGAAAGCTATATAGATAACATAAGTAGAAGTTGAGTGGCAAAGAAAGATACAATTTCCTCTATTTTTTTTCCTTTTTGGGTTGGGGGAGGTACTGGAGAGGGAGGCCAGAGAACCTAAACATCAACACTGGCAACAAGTGCTAGTAATATTTATTAAAGCGGAAGATCAGCAAAACAAAATAGAAGGGGACTAATGACCAAAAGTTTCACAACCAACAACAACATACCCAAACAAAATACTTGATAAACGTAACTTTGATACTTGATACATATGAAAGATGCTCAAATGATATCTAAGTAATATCTAAATGTAACTTTCTGGGTTCTTCCATTTCAGCTGGGTGTTGCAATAGCAAAGGTCTGCAACGTTCAATTCTGTTCTAGTTCTTTTAAAATCAAGTCCAATTTTTTGGGAAAAATGACACTGTATAGCGAAAAAATATATAAAATTTGTATATTTTTTGTATATATATACATTATGTATTATATACAAAATTTATACACTTTTGCGGCTACCACATATAAATAGTTTATGGCGCGGGCTAAAAGTGATAATACCCCAACTTTTTTCCTCCCTTACACTGTCAAACAACGTCATTGAACAATTTTAATTTTTCATCCCTTTATATTTTATTTGTATTTTCTCTTAGACTCCCACTTCAAATAAAAATATACTCATATATAAATCCATATCTATACTATATTAAAAGTACGAAGGCCTTAGCAAAATGTCGTTCGCCTTTTTTACCTTTTAAGAATAGAGTTTACACTGGGCAAAATAGTCCTTCTAATTAGTTTCCAAATATTTAGGAATAGTCATAGGGGTGTTCATAAAAATCTGAAAACCCGAACCAAACCGACCAAAAAATCGATACTTTTTTGTTTGGTTTGGTTTGGTTTTGGTTTTGAAATTTAAAAACCGATCAAATTTGGTTTGGTTTTGGTTTTAATTAAAACAAAACCGAACCAAACCAAATGTAGGAGTAGCTATTTTAAGTTTATTATTACACCTATATATATGTATACTTTTATACGAAGTTTTAAAAATTTTATAGTAAATATTAATCGTTTGCACTTTTAGTACAGTTCTTTACCTTTACATTCTTGTTTAATTAGTAGTTTTCTTTTGTTAAATGTAAGAATCTATTTCATGTTAAAAATAATATATTTTTAATTGAGTCCATAAATTATTCATCACTATTTGATTCAATTATCATCAATATATGTTGGTAAATAATAGATTTCTCAAAGGGCAATTGATTTGATAGTGTTACGTTGAAAATGTGGTCGCTGAAATATGTGTTTGGTAGTATATGTCTTATATTTAAGAAAAAACCGACAAAAATAACCAAAAAAAATCGATTTAATTAGTTTGGTTTGGTTCTAATATTTGAAAAACCGACTTACTTGGTTTAGTTTCTTTTTAGGAAAAAACCGATCCAAACCGAACCATGAACACCCCTAAATAGTCATTTAATTAATTCCCTAATATCTAGGAATAATCATTTAATTATTTCCTTAATATTTTGGAATAGTCATTTAATTTTACTAGAAATCTTTCCTTATTTAAAACATATAAGGATTCTTAATATTTAAGACTTTAAAAGTAATAAAAGTTTTACCTTATTTAAATTATTTCCTCATTTAAATTAACATACTTTTCATATTGAGATAATATGCATTATATTATTTGATGGGCGTGGAACTCACTCGAGGGACGGAGAGTAGGTATATTATATAAAATTTTAAATCAAAAGATACAAATGCCATGAGTTATGTATTTTATTTTGAACTTAGTTTTGAAAGAATTAGTTTTGAAATTTTGGAAAAGAATTCCTTGGTTTTGAATTCTTGTTGTCTTTTATACTTCGTGTGTATTCTGACTCATGATTACCTTTAATTATTAATATAACTATGAAACTCGCGACAAATATCCGTAATAATAGTAAAATTCTCCTGATAAAACCATCCAAATAATAAAAGAGATCATACTTCAGCGAAATTATTCATGAATTAAGAGAGATAATATCCAATCAGTTGAATTTAAGTATCATCACTAAATATTATCAACGAAAGCTGAATTCAAGTACCATGGCTAAATATTATTAATGAATAAATTTTAATTAGTTAACTATAATTAACTTTTATAATTCGCAAAATTAAAATTGCATATGCGGATAAAAATGAATATTGCAAACACTATTATAATGATTTATCTTAATGCACATTACATGAAATGTTACTAGATTTTTATACCTTTGAGAATTATATTACATAACGATACCTTCATGTTGGGTAAGATAATAATAATAAAAATAATAAATAATGTATCACTATCTTGCATTGGCGAAGCCATGAATTTCATTTAGGGCGTTCAAACTTGAAAGAAGTAAAAAAACCCTCTGATAAAGGGTTTTCAATATATATTATATACCACTAAAATCTAATAGTTTATCTATATATACCGTGTAATTTTTCGATGAAGGATGGTCAACCTGGAGCTACGTAGCTTCGCCCTTGTTATCTTGTCAACGATGTCCATTATTTCACTCATATAAATGACTTTGAATTATTTTTATGTAATTCTTATTTCGTTATTCAAGCATGTTCTTCAATTAGATTAGATACATATAATCTTAAAGGACACAACAAAATAACCAAAAAACCGAACTGAAAAGAAAAAATATGTTTTTCAAAAAAATCGAATGAACACCCTTGAGTTTTTGACCAATATTGTTCCTTATCTTTAAGAGTATGTCTATTTTGGTTCCTCAAATATAACCCTCAGCATATTTAGTCTCTTAAGTATGTTAAAATGGAGCACCTTTAGTCTCACTGACATAATGTGTTCAAAAACTAACGGTGTTACCCAACTCTAATTCATGAAGTAAATCTTCTATTATGAAGCAAAACGTTTCCTCTCATTTTATTGGATAACGCAAAGTATCACTTTAATTTCTCATTTTTGGATAATGTCTTCTAAAATTTTGACCTTAAAAATATCCCCTTTTGTGCCAATTTTCAATAAGAAAATGACACTGTATAGCCGCTGTAAAAATAATAGCAAAAATAATGTATAAAATTTGTATTTTTTTTGTATATATATTTACATTTTAAAATTTCGGTTGATTTTTCCAAAAATAAAAGTTAAAATTTGAAGGAAAAAAATAGAGATGCCAGGATCACTTCTAGGCATATTATTGATGCAAATGAATAACCAGGTTGTATTATCACTTTTAGCCCGTAGCAGAAACTATTTACATTTGGTAGCCGAAAAAGTATATAAAATTTGTATAATTTTTATATATTAATGCGAGCACCTAATTTTTGCCCCGCATGGAAATAACTCCTAAAAATAGACCAAAAATAATTTTTGAGGGATTTTAGAAGTTTTTATTTATTTAGTTGCATTTCATGCATTTTTAATATTATTAAATCGTAGAAAAATCATTAAAAATTATCACATTTTAATTTCATGCCATCTTAGGTTCAATTTGCATGTAGGAATTAATTTTATTAAGTAAAAATCACAAAATGGGCATTTTTACATATTTAGATTTTAGTCTTTAAAATCAACATTTTTCTTTAATTTTAAATTATTAGTTGTTTTAACGTTAAAAAAGGAATTTTAATTTCTACAAAATAGATTAATTTAGTATTTTAATTAATTGAATAAAAAGAAAAAAAAAAGGGAAAAACAAATAAAAGAAAATAGGAAAAAATGTTTGGTCTTGTTTATTCAAAATTGGGTCAATCCTTAAATTGGTCCCAATTAATTAAAAGGCTTTTTCGTATATATACCATATATGAAACTATATTATCAAATATATTCATAGTTTGCTTATTACCCTTCATGCTAATAGTATTTCTACCTAATATATACAGTGCATTAAATAAGGAATCACTGTACCTTTATGATTTCCTTATTTTGCGCGCTAAAAAAAGGGAATTAAATATTTTCCATATCTTCCCCAACGCAAATCACGTCGATTCCATAATTATCGTCGGCTTCACTCTGATCTTCCACAACGCAGAACAAGATTTTTCATACTCTATTTTTGCGATACACTCTGTTTCCATAAATTCTCTCTACATCTCTCTCTATTTCTCAATCGCAAATTTCAGTAATACAAAACAAATGAAAAGAGAGCAGCAATTCCACCATTGACAGACATTAAAAAGCTTGAAAACTTTGAATTCAAATTTGGGTTTTCAAAAATCATTATTTGTTTGGATTGAGTGTTGTTGAAAATAATCGGGAATATGATTTCGAGTTTATATCTCAATTTTGACGGGTTTTGGTGAAGATTAGACTTGGTTTTGACTGAATTTTAGATTGAAACTCGAAGAATAAGAATAAGAAGAAGAAGAAGAAGAAGAAGAAGAAGAAGAAGAAGAAGAAAAAGAAGAAGACATATTGCAGAAATTGCAGAAAAATTGTAGATAAATTGTAGACTGTTGTTTATTTATTATCTTTTATTCATTTACCTATTGTATGAAAGTTGAACAACATTGTATAAAAATCGGATTAAAGTGGATGATTTAATACTGTTTTGGACAAAAATATGTATAAACAATGTGAAACATACATTTCAGGGGAAGCATGTCGATTCCAAATATGTACCCAATTTGTAGATATTTTGTAGATAAATTATATATTATTTGTATTCTGATTGTAGATGCTTTATTTTCTGTTTTCACAAATAAAAACAGCTAAAACTTCTACAAATCTTCTGAAAAAACGCAATTATGTCGAAAATCCCAATTAAACTACAATTGAATAGGAATTGGGATATTAAAATTCAATATACCCAGTTTGTAGATATTTTGTAGATGAATTGTAGATTATTTGTATTCTGATTGTAGATGTTTTGTTTTCTGTTTTCACAAATCAAAAACTACTAAAACTTCTAAAATTCAATGTACCCAGTTTGTAGAGAAATTGTAGATTATTTGTATTTTAATTGTAGATGCATTGTTTTCTGTTTTCACAAATCCAAAACGACTAAAACTTCTACAAAATCTTCTGCAAAAAACGCAATTATGTCGAAAATACCAATTAAGCTACAATTGAATGAGAATTGAGATATTAAAATTCAATGTACCGAGTTTGTAGATATTTTATAGATAAATTTTAGATTATTTGTATTCTGATTGTAGATGTTTTGTTTTCTGTTTTCACAAATCAAAAACTACTAAAACTTCTAAAATTCAATGTACCCAGTTTGTAGAGAAATTGTAGATTATTTGTATTTTAATTGTAGATGCATTGTTTTCTGTTTTCACAAATCCAAAATGACTAAAACTTCTACAAATTTTTTTGCAAAAAATGCAATTATGTCGAAAAACGCAATTATGTTCTGTGGTAATAGATTAAATTAAACAAAATGGAAGTAAGGAGCTCTTCAGATCTTGACTAGCCAACTAAGTCAATTGGTTTGCATGAAACAGAAGTATATATACTAAAAGTTACTCTATAGTAAAAGACATTGCCATTTATGAGATTGGACGAATCTTTATGATTTAAGAAGAATAAATATTGAAATAACACATGGAGCTAAGTTAAAGCTTGTGACAACTTGTACATATAATGTGCAAAAATATCCAACGCAAAAGAAGAGTGTCCAGCTAGTGGAAGCCTGGGAACAACAGATTTTGCAAATCTGAATAAATTTAACTAAAACATCCTTCAACTCCAACCCAAAAGAATTGCGTTATGGATATTCTACACAACTGAAACATAAAGCAATGCTCATTCTGGAAGCCCAGGAATCAATTTCTGAACTGATAAGCTATATAGATTTCAAAGAACCAAACGCATAGTGAACGGTTCTAATTTTAGTATTAATAGACCATGTTACAAGTTAAATATGTAGAAGTACTGGTGTCAAAGATTCTCCTGGTATCTGAACCAAAAACATATGAAGTCAAAAAGAGGGCATGAAGAAAAGAAAGCCCTCACTAAAACGTGGGTGAGGGTGAGGGTTTGGGAGAGAGAAACATGGGAGGGGTGGGATATACGGTACCTTGAATTAAGGAGGGATATACGCTGCATTAATTGTACCCTTAAAATACACTATAGTATAGAATTGGTAATTTGGTATACAAAATGTAATTATATCAAACCTTAAACATTAAGGGTAATAAGGTTTCCTATGTGGTATAGGAATGTAAAAAGGGATTTTTACCTATCTATACTATATATCAAACCTTATTACCCTCAATATTTAAGGTTTGTGTTTATTACATTTAAGCATACCAAATTACCATTTCTATACCATAATTCAAATTAGGGATATAATTAAGGGTTCATTTATATTAGGCATAATTATAGGACTGTATCTTCCCACTTTCTCTTTCCTTTCATCTCAACTGTTCACAACACACACACAACTCACGATGCTCCTATGCTTCCTCTCGTTGATCATCCCCAACTGCCCACCACCGTCGAAGAATATCATATTTTCAGATTCACAAGAAAATTTTAAATTCTTTGATCCAACCGCTTGAATTCCCACTGGAAATAATAATGGCAGAGAGTTCGAAATTCTTTGACCTATTTTTTTTTGGACAGTGGTTGAAGGTTACTGGTTAACACAGTCGATTGAAATTCGAAGAAGAAGATGAGGAAGACATATTTCCAGAATTTGTAGATATTTTGTAGTCAAATTGTAGTCAAATTAGAAAAATTGTAGACTGTTTTTTGCAGAAGATTTTGTAGAAGCTTTAGTCGTTTTGGATTTGTGAAAACAGAAAATAATGCATCTACAATCAGAATACAAATAATCTACAATTTATCTACAAGATATCTACAAAATAGATACATTGAATTTTAATATCCAAATTCTCATTTCAATTGTAGCATAATTGGCATTTTCGACATAATTGTAGAAGATTTGTAGAAGTTTTAGTCTTCCCAATCTACAATTCATCTACAATATATCTACAATTCTACAATTTAACTACAATTTAACTACAATTTCTGGAAATACGTCTTCTTCTTCTTCTTCTTCTTCTTCGAATTTCAATCTAAAATTCAGTCAAAACCAAGTATAATCTTCACCAAAACCCCTCAAAATTGAGATATAAACTCCTAAACATATTCCGAATTATTTACAACAACACCCAATCCAAACAAATAATGATTTTTGAAAACCCAAATTTGAATTCAAAGCTTTCAAGCTTTTTAATGGCTATCAATGGTGGAAAATATATGGAAGAACAGATGAAGATGAAGATGAAGATGAAGAACAGAAATCTCCTTTCCGTTTGATTACTGGAGCTTCAGTAGCTTGCGTTTTTTGAGAATTGTAGTTGAGTGAGAGAAGAGAGATCTCTTTCCGTTGAGGAAGGAGAGAATTACGCAGCAATTCGAATTTGATGTTGACAGAATCACACGCAGATCTGGTGCCTCATTTTAGGGCTTTTTTTATGGCAAAATCTACCTATTTTTGGATTGGTATATAATTTGTAGTAAAAGTGTGGACTACACGGGTAAATAACAAATTATGAACATTTTTGGTAATAAAATTTGATATATGATATAGATAGGTAAAAATCCCATATAAAAATATCATTAATTAACCCAAATACAATCCTTTAGCCCAAGCCCAAATTCCGCCTGACCCAATCCCTTCTCCACCTCATTAAACCTAATCCCTTCCCCATTAAAAAACGAAACGATCAGATACGCTCCCCATTCCGAAAAACAGAGAACAGCGGCGCCATCCCTCCCCTTGGTCCTCGATTCCTTCTTCTTCAAAACACAGAGAAGAGGACCCCTTTCCCTGGATAAAAGCGGCGCATTTTCCCCTTCTCCTCCATCCCCTCATCATCTACAAAACCAGATTTCACCCCAATTCAAGGAACCTAACTTCAGGGCCCTGCTTCGATACACAACAGCGGTTTTCCCTCAACAGGAAGCTGCTGCTCAACGACCCCTCTTTCTGATTTGAAAAACAAAAGAACCACCATTAAAAGCTGTTGAATAATCTCCAAACCAACTGAAAAATACAGAAAAAGAGCCTCTTCTTCGCTCAAAAAACAGCCGCTCCAAAGTTGCGCTCAAGAGCTCGTTGAGTTTCCCGGCTAGGTCTCTAGTTCGGGTTTTGTTGATGAGGTTTGATAATTTCTGGATTTTCGAGTCTTTTTGGCTTGGGATTAGTGCTGTTTTCTGCCGATTCCATGGCTGACTTCACTGAGCTTTAGGTTTTGAATTTTTTGTGGTTTCATCGTTGATTGAGGGCTTTTATTTGCTGTTACTGGTTTGCTGCTGAGGCCACTAGAATTAAGCCTTGATTTGGTCTTTTGGATTTATGGCCAAGGTATGATGTCTAATTTCAAATGATGTATTGGTTGTTTGGATGGTGATATGGTATGAAATTCGTGATGATTATTCACCTAAACGCTTGAAAATGCCTTGTTATGTTAAATTCGAATTATTCCCGAAATGGCAGAATGGAATGGCTGATTACATGGCTTGGCTTAATTCCATGTTTTCTCTGCATTGGGTCACCCGATCTGATCACTTTGTTTCTCTATTAGTGTTTGATTGTCTGTTGCGAGCTAAATATGCTAAATTGTACCCGTTTGTTAATTAGCTAGTTGCCACATGTTAGTAATTGAAGTATCCTTGCGTTCAAACATGTCATGATACTGTTGATTAATGCATTTAGTTGATTTCTCCTTGTTAAATAGTCTTTCTTTGTTCCTTTGTCAAAATTCCTCGTAAATGATTTGTTTATAGTTTCAGTTCATTCGTAATTAGTCCACTGGTTCATTTTGTATGCTAAGTGTTTTATAGATAATCTGCTGGCTTTGTTCTATTTGTGAGGTAGTCAATTAGGATTAATTGAGTAAACTAAGAACTAAGGAGGAATAGGGTTTGGGAATTTGGGGTTGGATTTTTAGGAAACAATTGGGTTTTGGACCACTTCTTGATGGGTAGAAATGAAAGGAAAAATCAGACCTTTTAAGATTTGGGCCAAGGTAGTATGTTGCCGGCCCATCTCCTCTTTAACAACAAGGATAGCCTATCTTAAATTATTTCATATTTTATACAACAAATTCCACAAATATGTCCTTCATATTAATCTCAAACATAGGAAATGAATAACTCTGAACATCGTAGCATGCTTCAGGCGCAATTACTAAACCATCGTGATTTTGGGTATGGTTCCCTTGACATAGTTACGATGCCTAATTCCAAAATTCGGGTGTGCATTTCATGTGACCCGATCATAACAACTTTGAACAATAATAAAATAAACATGTCGCAAATTGGGTGCATTTCATGTAGCGTGGTTTGCAATGTGTTCCAAAACGGCAAGTGTACGACAATCGTAACTTGTTCAAGAAATAATTCCATAAATCCTAAAAAGCGGTTTAAAATAATTAAAAGCTGTTATAAAGTTAAAAATGCACAATAGATTTAAAACATGTAATAAATCAAATAATCTGGCCAATTATTAATAGTTAAGCGACCGTGCTAGAACCACAGAACTCGGAATGCTTAACACCTTCTCCCGGGTTAACAGAATTCCTTATCTAGAATTTCTTGTTTCGTACACTTTTAAATAAAGTCAAAATTTCCTCGATTTGGGATTTTAAAATAAACCGGTAACTTGGGACACCCTAATAAATATTCAAAGTGGTTACTCTGAAATAAATAAAATAATCTTATTTCGAATAATGTCACTTTAATTGGAAAAACTCCCTTGTATACCCTATCGGGTGGAAAAAGGAGGTGTGACAATTAACATACAAAATGTATAAAAATACAAAAAAAAATACAAAATTTTATTTCTGCTATTATTTTTACTGTGGCTATACAGTGTCATTTCTCATTGAAAACTGACACAGAAGGGGATATCTTCAAGGTCAAAATTTTAGAAGACATTATCTAAAAATGAGAAATTAAAGTGATAATTTGCGTTATCCAATAAAAGGAGAGGAAACATTTTGCTTCAGAGCAGAAGATTTGCTTCATGAATCAGAGTTGGGTAACACTGTTAGTTTTTGAATACATTGTGTCAGTGAGACTAAATGTGCTCCACTTTAGCATACTTAAGAGACTAAATATGCTCAGGATTATATTTGAGAGACCAAAATAGACATGCCCTTAAAGATGGGGGACAATATTGGCCAAAAACTCGAACACACTTAGTTGAAAGTTGAAACACATTAAACCCTTCTGACCCTACGTGCTTCTCAATCGTGTTGATGTTAGTATCCACGTCGATAAAATATGCCATGTCATTTCTTATGTTTACAGAAATTATTTTTTAATTTTTCCTATACTAATATGAATTCCTCGTTCCTCACTTACCATTTCCACACTATTCCCTTCTTCATTCATTGAGTTCTCCTAGTAGCTGTAAATTGGATTTTGCTCCTCTCTAATTTTTGTGGTTTTCCGTTCGCTGATTTTGGTGAGTTTTCTTTTTCTTCTAGCATGGAAATACAAGACAAAGACAATGGTTCGTCGGATAAAGCTAAAGAGAGGATCTTCCAAACTTTCTCAGAATTTATGATTAGGTTTATTCCCAACTCTTAACTACCTTGAAAAACTTATGCTTTCTTTTAATTATTCTCATAGTTGTCCTTACATTTCCCTATTCGTTTAAATTTAATTTACAAGCAAACAAGAATTAATGTATTTCATCATACAACCTTTAAAAAATAAATAGAGTTTGTTAATTAATAGATGGCCAAATAGAAATTTCTGTGATTTTTTTTTTGATATTTAGAGAATTTTCTTGAAGTTAAGCCATTGCCGCCCCCCCCTCCCCCCCCCAAAAAAATCCCCTCTTTTTACTGAGGTTGTGATTTTGCTTTATTGAGCCAAGGGTCTTCCGGTCTTGTAAAGGTAGGGGTAAGGATTGCGTACATACTACCTCTCCAGACCCCACTTGTAGAAATATAATGGGTTCTTTGTTGTTGTTGTTAGAAAGTGCTTAAAAAGTTTGAGAACTGTATATTTTTAGTTGCTCCAAAAAATAATAGCCCAAAATGTATTTTTTTTGTATATATGTATGTTGTACATATTTTATATACTTTTAGGCTAGCGGATGTAATTAGTTTTGGCCAATCGACCATTTTTGTATTTTGCCAAAAAAGTTCACATTTTTAAAATAAAATTGCAAACTTTATTTGCAAAATTTAAGTTTTGTAACTTTTAAGGACAAACAATAGTAGTATTATATTCATCAAAATTTAGGCAGACAGTAAGAATTCACCGAGCTATTTCTTCTTTCGTTGTGCGACTTAGGTTCGTTCTTCTATTTCAGGATTACAAAATTTGATGAATTAGCAGAAGTGGGAAGTAGATTGCTAGTTGGTTTTCAGCAAAGCCTCGGTTAGTGTGTTGTAGCATCCATTTGAGTGAATCTATTGTAAGAATACATAAATGCTCTTTAGTGAACCTTGCTTGTTTGCCTGTTTTTGTCAGAGTATATACGACGTCCACCAATTGAAAAGAATTCCGGACTGGTTGAGCGCATTATTAGAGAGAATGATACTAAGAGGCTTTCGTCTTATGTTGAAGCTGGATGTCTGAATGCTCATGACACTCTACAAAATATGTCCAAGTGTAAGTGTTTTACATATCTGGAATCTATACCTGCAGCCGAAAAAAGAAATAGTTAATGTGAAGGAATTATATGAGGTCGTTCTATTCCTGTAGAATTTTCTCTCTTGTTTTTACAATGATCCGAGTTTTTTGCACTGATACATATTGTGTATACCGTCAAACCTCTCTATAACAACCATCCTCTATAACATCATTTCACTATAACGGCCAAGTTTTCTTTGGAACCAATTTTTCATGTTATGTTATAAAATATGTTATCTGTAGTAACACTTCACTATGACCGCCAAAAATGTCATTTCTTTGTTGCTGTTATAGAGAGGTTCGACTGGACGTGCTACTTATGTATGATGATATTGTCATTTCTTTGTCGCTGATAGAGTTTAGTTGTATAATACTGTTCCACTTATAGCCTTTCCATAGAGTAGGCTATTGAAATATCTTGTTACAAATTTTTGACATATCTATAAGTTAACAAGAGGAGTGACAAATTAATCTTTTCGTGATTTTGGTTTTTGTTGTTGTTGCTGTCTTCCCTTAATTTTCTTGTGTACATCTTGGCCAATCGAATTTCTCCTTTTTGTTTCCATTTTTTTCCCACTAGATTCTTTTGGTGTTATTTACCTTCATAACTTGGATTGTGCTTCTGCACAGAAGTACATACATGCCACCTTGGACTTCAGGATCACGTAAACAAAGGTATTTCAGGTGCCCTGTATTAATAATTTTTTCCATATCATCTTTAAGTACGTTAACTGACCCCTTCTTCAGCACCACACACAAGACACGTTGGTTCAAGCTAAGATTAACAACACGGTAGGGTAAAAAGGTTAATTCAACTTAGAAGATTAAATTAAGTCTCTTGATCTGGAACACATATGGTGTAATATACAAATGTATATCCAGAACTTTGTATAAGAGTGTGAACAGAGTAACATTACTGAATGACCAAGATGTGCTACATTTAGCAAGAGTGTTAATTGGGGTTTTACTTGAGCTTATTCGACAGTACTATTGGTTTATTCATTTAGCTTTACCCTGCATAGTAGAATGTCCTACTTTTCTTTACAGTTTTTATGTTAAGTGTAAGAGTTGCATGTTTTTCCAAATGGAGTTGGAGTTTAGATTACAAAATGGGGATATTATTGCAGCAAAGTGTGTTGTTGATGAACTTGCATGCCTTTTAAAGGATGCGGAAGCTGTAGTACAAACGATGAATTGTAGTTTGGCGCAAATGGGGGAAAGAAATGTTGACAGTGGTACAGATTCGTCGGGCACCTCTCATGATGAAGTAAGATCCTTTTTTCTTTAGCCACTTGCTTGCTTGAGCTTTTAATATGTAATATTAAACTATTATTAGCAACCTCTTCATTTAGAACTGAACCACTAATCATTCTGTTGGGAAATACCTAGAAGTACACATCAATAGATTTATCTATTCGGGAATGAACTTAAGAAATATAAAGCAAGAATTTGGTTTGGAAATCCAGATAAATGCTTCCATTCTTTTGTTTGAAGAAGAAAGAAAGAAAAAGAAACTAAAATCGAGTTTACACTTGGTCATATTACCAAGTTATGAAGTTTATTAGGTCCGATATTCTAAGAATTACCATAAGCAAATATCATTTTGCATTGGATTGCTAAAAAATACAGTAAATGGCATTTGTGTTGCTAAATTGTAGAAATAATTTAGAATCCTAAATTTTAAGTTTCAACTTGGGTGTATGGAAAACTGTTTGAATAGTTAAGTTTAGTGGAAAGGCTTATTTTATGTGATTATTATTTGGATGTTGAGTCTGAAGTACAGTCAACTTGTAGTGTGCACTCAAATTTTTAATTTGAAGTAATACAGACATATTCTGATATGTTTATTACTTAAAAAAAAACTTAATCTACCATGTTCTTTAGGCTGACAATGAACCTACTTATGTTCCCCTTATGACATTTATATTTAAACAATTTTTAATAATGTCCCAATGTAGGAGGAAGAGCTATCTGTTGATCTTTTGAAACACGAAGTCATTGATATTGCAACAATGATGGCAGTATTATACGGCATGGTAAAAAATGACTACACAATGCAGGTAATAATCTCTTCCTTTCCAAGATGTTTCTTCATAGTCGGGTAATGGAGTTAGCAGTCTATGCTAGAGGGTTCATTCGTACATGATCAGTTGACCACTGACTATAGCCAAGCGTAACGGTTAGTCATTATTTCCTGTAACAGGAAAAGATTGTTTCTTCCCTTAACCTTACTTCATCTTCTGGAGAACTGGAGAGCTACTCCAGCATGTGGTCATTGCGCCCTTACATGGATGATGAAATCATGCATAAAGCTTGGAAACTTGTACGCCGCTAACTCTTTTTGTCCTCCTGTTTGTTATTTTGGTGAAAGATCATCAAATAGCGTTATTTATATCAAAGAAGCTTCACTATAGCTTTCTTTCTTGAAATTTGTTTGAAGCAATAGCAAATGCAGTTTTGCAGTACGAAAAAAAAAGTACAGAAGAAAGGAAAAAAGAAAAATAGCGGGTGAGGATGAAGAACATGTGACGGTTGTAATAATTTTTATTGTTAATTATTGGTTAAACTAAGCATGACTGCTATGGCACTTAATCAAGTTGCTATAAACATTGACTGGTTTTGGTATTTATACAGTGACTATCTGCTTTCACTTTCAAATACCTTCCTCTTTTGTTAGCTAAGGTGCTCGGACACGGGTGCGGATCTAGAGGTCGGATCCTTAAAGATGTTAATTCTAAGATTCGGGGATACGGATCCTAATACGGATATAGGTATAGGGATCCTGCTAAAAATAATTCAAAAAATTAAAAATATCTCTAAATTATGAGAAATTTATGGATTACTTACGTATATCTGGTAAAGTATGGATTCTTTTTATTCTCAAGTTGTAGATAAGTAAAGGATTGATTTCCTAGATAAGGTATGTTATTTTCTCCAAATTTACCCCAGTTTTTGTTCAGATATGAAATCTTATAGTTGTATGCTCCACATTATGAATTTATGATGTGTAATTGCTTTATGGTGAATAAGCTAAGTTCTAGTAGTGGAAATAAATTTGAAAAAAAATCTTAAAGGGACAATCCTCTGATTAAGATCGAAGTTATTTTGGACTATGCTTTATACAGTCAAACCTCTCTATAATAATATTTCATTATAATGACCAAGTTTTCTTTGGACCCAATTTGTCTATGTTATGTTATATAAACTCTTCACTATAACAATCAAAAACTATCGAAACAAATGAGCCTATTATAGATAGGTTTGCTATTACAGAGAGATTTGACAGATTTGACTGTATGATTCTCGGTTATTCAATTCAAGGACATTTCAAGAATAGTAATTCAGCACGGTGGCAATCCAACTTAATAATATTTAGAGAAGTACTAGTTGATATACAAAATTATTTCTTAATGGAACTAAAGGCCATTAGATAAGACACAGGGTCATTATTCCTACCAAATCTACTAGCTTCCACTTACAGAGGAAATTAACTTACACCAAGAAGTTAATCCATAAATTATTCGAATTGCAATAACTGCAACTTTATTGCTCTATGCCAAATACTCTACTATTTAATACACTAAAATTATTCACTCCATTATAAGTTGGGAAGCCTCGTTGAGACTCTCGATTTCATATGAATAACCAAGATTGTTAGCTTGAGCTCGAAACTCATCCATCTCACCTTTTGGAACTTGGAATCCAACTAACACACTTGCAACAAGTTCTCCCTATCATGGATATAGAAAAAACAAATTATTTACTCCAAAAGTGGCATATAATGAAACTAGAAAGAGTTTAGCTTGTATACACTGATGGCGCAGAAGAATATTTACACTATCGAGTCATTTATAAGCCGAGTTCTAAGTTCTATGTACCTACGATGGTAAAAGTATTTACACAATCAGGTTATTTATAAAGTAATTACAAGTAAATCCTCGATGATAAGCATTTAAGCTAATGTAAGAGACGGCTCCGATGGGTTCTCTGTTTCTTTCATTCCTGGTTATCTGTTCTCTAGCCATTCTACCATATTATTATTTTCAGAATTCATTCCAGGCGGAAACTCATCTAGCTAGGGAACTCTTATAAGACGATTTCTCGTATGATTATTTTCGTGATTCGGCCTAGAAGAAGTTCACCTTGTCTGGCCAATGGGGAATTCGGGGATTTGGTATAGCAGTTCAGGTTCGTTTGCATATTAGTAATATGTTAAAAATGGTGGCTAGCATACTATCACAAATTAAGCTATACTGACAGTGTAAACAATCTTTACGTTATCAGTGTGTATAACGTAAATAAGTAGAATTAGTTGTATGAAAAATAAGACATGCAACATGCTACAAGTAGTTAAATAGCACTGATAGTGTAAAAATATTATTTATATTATCAGTGTATATAAGTTACATCAAACTAAAAATGAAGGTTGTGACTAGAAATTACCTGTTCACGATAATGGAACAAACTTATATTCCATCGAGGGCTGAAAGCATCTAAGAACTTCCTTAAAGCTCCAGGCTTCTCAGGAAATATGAATTGACAGAAAATCTAAAAATTGAATGTAATAAGTAATTTCTTTTTTCCTAACAACTAATAAAGCAAATCTAAAATGAGAAGCCAACATCCCCTCTAAAAATGAATAGAACTTTAATTACCTGTACAGAACTAGAGCTTGTTTTCTTCCAGAGTTATATCTGTACTTGAATTCGGTAATAATCATAGGTCCCACCAGTAATTCAAGTCAATATTTCAGTTTCTTAGACAGAAAGTATCATATAGTAACTAAAAAAGTTTTAAGTTATGTACACGTCAGTGTAACAAATTTTTACTCCATCAAGACGGTATAAAAGTTTCTTACACTGACGACGATGTATATAACTTAAACTCTGGCTAAAATGCTTGTTAAGTGCTCTAAGTAACGCACAAGTTCGCAGAATTTTTTGAAGCTTCCTGGTTCTTCTGGCATAAAAGTAGCCAGCAGAGCTTCCCTCTGTCCACCAATATCTGCTAAATCGACGACTAATTTTAGTTTGCTGATGTCCATATTGGCTCCACTAGCAATTGCTACAACGTTTTCGCCCTTTATGTCATAGTATTTGCAGTATGCTTCAGCTCCAGCTATGGCGAGTGCACCTGATGTCTCTAATATGTTCCTTCCTTTGTCGTACACATCCTATTGAAAAAAAGAACAAAACACACACAAACACAAACTAGTACATGTCAAAACCAGAGGGAAATTTAAGAAAGTTACTTTAATCCACATCTAAAGTATGAATGTCAAACGTGGACGGGTTAGCCTGAATTTGAATGGACCAAAATTGGTTGAGTTAATAAATGGGCGAGTCATATACCCACATAAATGTTATTTGGGCTGTGATTGATTGGGTTGATAGTTCAACCCGTCCTATTCTAACCAATTTTGGCTGGTTGGACGGATCATATCTGAAACCATTAGGAGATGGTGCGTGCTAACCTTTACTGCTGCACTAATAGCATCGTTACTGACTAAGACCATTCCGTCTATTAAATCTTTGCAAAGACGGAAAGTTTCTTCACCAACTAACTAGTGCAACAGCTACGCCATCTGCAAAATTATCAACTTGTTCTAACTTTACTCTCATTCCGTGGTACAAAGACTGTGTCATTGAACTTGCACCAAATGGCTCAACTCCTATAATCTTTGTATGAGGAGCAACCCTTTTGAAATATGCAGCAACACCAGCTATTAAACCTCCTCCTCCTACAGGCAGAAATACTGCATGTATATCTTTAAGATGTGATCGAAAGGCGGGATGAATGTGAGACCTTCATCTTCAGCCAACTTTAAAGCATGTGCTTGAGCTTCATCAAATGTGTCACCCTGTAGAACTACATTACCATCCAAGTTCTTAACTGCTTCAATCTGTTCATTTGTAAAGAAAATGGTCCTTTAGAAAAACAAATAATTTCACAATACTTTCTACTAAAAAAATAGGAATTAGCGACAGACTACTTCTGTTGCTAAATAGAAAAATTTCATGCTACAAGCTAAACAAATTATCTAGAAATTCTATTAGCTACGAGCGATTTAGCGAGACTTGCGACGAAGTTTGTAGCTAGTTCCAATTTTTTTTTAGTGAATTATTTTGTTCTCTCTGTTTTAGTTGTGTGACCCTATTCAGATGAGAGACTTTTATAACCACACAAACGTTATGACGCATTTAAGAGCCCGTTTGGACATAAGAAAATTTTCACATTTTTTCGAATTTTTTTCCCGAAATCAGCGTTTGGTCATATAATTTCCAATTTTCACTTGAAGATGCATTTTGGAATTTTTCGAAAATTTGAAAAACTCCAAAAAGTTGTTTTTTCAAAATTTGTGTCAGATCACTCACAAAACTTCAAAAACAACCTAAAATTATATTCATGTCCAAACACAACTCTAATTTTCAAATACCATTTTCACTTGAATTTTTTTTCACTTTTCTTGGAACTTTACAATTCTTATGTCCAAACACCCACTAAGACTATAAGTTTCAAAAGTCTTATAACTACACAAATGTTACAGCATGTTAAAGCTCCCAAGTTCCGAAAGTCTTCATTTTTTAGTAAAACTCAGTGCCCGATCAACTAGATTCACATGAATCGAACATGAAGGATAAATTAACAGGAGAGAACTAATTACCTTGATCTCTGGTGTGGTAACAGGCATGACAATCGTAGCAGTACATTTAAGTCTCTGAGCACCTAATGCAACACCTTGTGCATGATTTCCAGCTGAAGCAGTTATAACCCCTCTTTCTAATTGCTCCTTTGAGAGTTTGGTCATCATGTTATAAGCTCCTCTAAGCTTGAATGAGAGCACCTAAAAAATACCACCAGTTGATGAGCTAGCAATATTAGTTACCTATATTGCTCGAATTCTCCGAAAAGGTCATCGGGTGCGTGTCGAATCCTCAAAATATATATTTTTTGAGGATCCGACGCGGGCGCAACAACATTTTGAAGCGTCCACACAGTATAAATAGTTACACAATAATACAAGGCAGAAACGTTTGAAAAAGAGAACAATTATTAACTTATCTAAGATAGTTAAAAGTAGAATAATATCCCCATTGTTCAGAGGCGGAGACATAATTTTGAGTTTATGAGCTCTAGATTTTAGAAAGAAAAAAATGCAACTTAATTACTAGGCTTTTTATACATATTAAGTGAGCTTTTTAGTACAAGTACAGAGTTTGGGCCAAAATTATTGGGTTCTGCCGAACCAGTAAGTCGAAGGCTAGCTCCGTCGCTGTTGTTGTTCTATCTTAAATGATAGTCTTTCTTTTTTCGGTGTATTCCGAAAGAAAAAAAAGCTTTCCTACGTTTGGAAACTCTTTCACTTTAAATGTTTCTATTTTACCCGTAATAACATGCTTTGATAGCAACAAAAAAAACGTTTACAACAACAACGACAATAACATACTAAATATTATCCCACACCGTAGAGTCTGGGGAGGGTAGTGTGTACGCACACCTTACCCCTACCTTGTGAGGATATGAAAGTTGTTTCCAATAAACTCTCGGCTTAGAAAAGCATAAGCACCACATTAATGAAAATATAGACAAGAAGGGACAGTACCAAAAAGCCATATAAAAGCAGAATAA